CACGATCTTCATCAGTGCCACATAACATACATTTCATTTAAAAAATAAAAATAAAAAAAAAAATTATTATAGATTTTTTTAAGGCAAACTTGGTTTGAGCTTTCAAACCATTTTTTTTATTTTTTTGAGTTGTCAAACCCATTGTTTTAAATAGCTCGGTATATAGCTTTTTTTTGGAAAAACGCGACGTAGCCTTATATATTTAGCGTTTTTCCCGAAAAGCTTACGCGAAATGTTAAAACGGCACGCTTTCTTATGCTATTTCACGTTATTGTAGTGCTGCATTGCGCTATATTTCTACAACGACATTTGAACAATAAAATATTCAAAACCTCGTATTTTTTAGGGATCAGAGTCATATTTACAAATGACAATTAAAAACTAAAAATTTTGATAATGATTTCAAATTAAAAATTTTGAAAATGGAAAGTCCTAAATTGAACAGTGCAATATTTTTTGGTCTATTTTTGTTATATCATTTTATTTTTCAATATTTGACATTTAAATAAAGAATAAAAAAGTTCATATATAATGGTTAGAATTAAGTTGTAGTTAAATAAAAATATAATAATTAAAATGCATATGCTTCAAATTATATTATGACTTACCTCATTATATTTTCGTTGTTTGTTTTTACTTTTTACTATATTCGATTTTATTATTAAATATCTATACTATGATTATATTTACATTAAACATTTGTGAGAATTAATCATTAGATGTTATTTTTGAAGTCATTCAAATACTATGATAATTTTTGTAATCAACCATCCATTTTTATTATATGCAAATATACTTGTAATATTTCTATAAAGAAAAATTATACCCAAATAGCTTGCGCAACACGCAACGCTATTTTTACACTACGTAGTATAAAGACTAAAACGCGACCCTAACCTCTCAAGTGTAACAGATAAACTCTAACAAGGTTTTCAATTTTCTTCCTTTTCCTATGAAGGGATGGCGAATTTATTTGTTCCTTTTCCTCCGATGATTGATATCCCACCATCAATAGTGCGCCAGCCACCGCCTCCTCGACGGCCAGGTAAAGAAGAACGGAATACAGAGCTTGAACCCTTCAAATTGCCGGTTCAACCCGTTCACCAGGTTAGGTTACATATACAGAGAATCTCAATTCGTTCTATTAATTTGCAGTATTTCGATATAGATTTGTTAGGTTAAAAGTTATCCGATTTTGGGTTTTTTTTTTTCTCTGTTGATGAAACATGGGAAGAATAATTAATATATATATATGCAGATTATCAGGGAGAAAACAAACCTGCGCACTTACTACCCGAGGAGGTGTGAAAGAAATAGTCTAACGAACATAGAATCATCAAGTCTAACAACAGACATAGGATCTCTACCTGATGAGCTGTTGTTTGAAGTGCTTGCTCGAATCCCAGGCCAGCAAGACATTTACGAGGCAAGGCTTGTTTGCCGTAAATGGTACCTTATCATCCACACCCGTAATTTCATGTCTGCATACTTACGCCACTCCCCTTATGGTCTCCTCCTCAAATCCTTGCGTTGGGAATCACTTTTAATTCTCCCTCAAAGGGGAGGAGGGGTCGAGATGACCCGGTTGAGGTACAAACGTAGGTGTATGGTCACTAGTAGTTGTAATGGATTGTGGTTAGAGACTAATATGAAAAGCGAACATGAACTTTTCGTCACAAATCCCACAACGGGCCAAATTGTTCGTCTCCCTCCATTTGTTGGTAAAGTTGCAGAAGGAAGATATGCAATGGGGTACGCACCGGATTCCATGGAGTATAAAGTGGTTATATACAATCCTCTTGTAGGAACCTGTGCCCGTCCCCTTACTTGTCATATATTAACCGCTGGAGTTGATACAAAATGGAGGAATCTTGATTTGGGAGTCATATCATCCGAGAAGGCAATGACTGCATTGTTCAATCCTACATTGATTACTGAAGGTTTCATTCATTGGAACCATCCTATTACCCAACATGTCTTCACTCTTAATGTGGAGACTGAAACCATCACAGAAACTCCCGCTCCTCTCCCGCTAAAACTCTTTCCTGCTCTTGGGGATCAAGCCAGTATTTACTTATCAACTGGAAAATATCTGACGTTATTGAGTCATTACGGGGAGTGCTCGTGGCAGGTTTGGGAGATGAGTCGACTCGAAACAGGGGAATGGAGAAAGAAGGTTGATTTTTGCTTGGAGGTTCACAAGGAAAGATTCAAGCTATCAGGTGTCGTAGCCAAAGTTTTTTTGATCCCGGTAGGGTGGGTCAAGTACCCAGAGTTGTTGGCCATGAGAGGTAGTTATAAAGCTAATATGACTGCAGTTTTTCTATACAATCTTGTCACGCAAGAAATCGATGAAATCGGGTTACCTTCCTATGTTTTTCAATACAATTTTGTGGTACATAAGAGTAGTTTGGAGTGGTTGGATGCAGTCAAGGTCAAGCCTACTCGACGACTGGTATCTAAATGATTATACTCATGTGTTACACCTTTTTAATGTGGTCTAATATATATTACTGATGAAGAATCTATGCTATGAAAACTTTCGTTGCTATTACCTTTTGTTGATATGTTGGCATTATGATAAAAAGTGGGAACTCTTCTTTTGTTTGTTTTGGATTCAGATTTGAAACTTCATTTTCTTCTTCTTTTTTTTTTTAATTTTTTACTTTGGAACTTACCTGGATTTATGGATTTTTTTTTACTTTAGAACTTACCTGGATTTATGGATTTTTTTTTTAAAATTTTTTGAAAATTGAACATTCTGAAGGGGCTTTTTTGAAAATCAAGAAATTATAACTATATTACAATTTAATTTAGGGTTAAATCTGAAAATTAATAAATTTAATTGTTGATATTTATATATCAGTTTGAAATTCCTATTCTATTATTTGTTTTTAATTTAGTTTTGAGTTCGAACTATAATTTTTTTGTTAAAATATTTCAAATATCGGTCCGTATTTATTTTTACGTTGAAATTTCGTTTATCTCAGTTTGATGTTAGCTTTGTGTTTTTTTAAATAATTGAATTGATCAAAATATTAAAAATATTTTTATATTTTTTTATACATATCTAATATATATTTTCAACAAAAAATTATATAAAATATTTAAAATTTTATTAAAATACTAAATATATTTTTATAAATATAAATAATTAAATTGTTTTGATTATTTTGTACAATTCGATCGGCCAACCGAATAACCAGATTATTTTGTTCACTTTTAGTTTGGATTGCACATAAAAAGAAAAAAAAAAAAAACAAATGCACAACAATATTAAACAAGATGTACATCAGTGACTATCGTATTGCACAATAATGAAAGACCGATTGCACTTTAATGTGTTCGAGATTGCACATTAGCATACCATTGTGCAATTTCACATATATTATAATTTTTGGTTATTTGAGTCAAATTTCGACTTTGTTTAAGAATAATTAAATAAATTAAAATAAAAGGAATAAAATAACAAAGTCAAACGAACTATATAAAAAATATTGTTTTTATGCTTTTATCTATATATATTATTTGTTTTCAACGAACAGTAATATAAAATATTGAATAAAAATTTATAACAGTCAAATATATTTATTATATAACTAATTGATAGGTGCACAATAATGTTAATAAAAATTACACATTATTAAAGTTTTCTAAAAAAAAAATGGGTAAATTCCGCCAAACCCCCTGTATTATACGAAATTTGCGCCTTATCCCCCTGTATTTTAAAAAATGCGCCATACCCCCTTGTATTATACTTTTGATTGCGCACGCTCCCACCTCCTCGTTTCTGTATTAACCCCGTTAATTTTTTGCTTAACTTCCCGTTATGTCCTCAGAAACAAACAATTACAGTAAGTAAAGTGGATTTAAATGGATCAAAATATGTGTTAATCCTGTTTACCGTGATTAATTTGGAATTAATTTTTATTAAAATATTTTGTTGCTGCGTTTATGTTCCAACAACCAAATCTGGGATTTGTTCGTGTTCATAAATTCTGCAGTCTGGGAGTACTCTGTAACTCTACGCATATACAAAATCTAGGAATTTGATTCCCAATCTGGGAGCACTTTGTAACTCTACGCTGCCACTGGGCGGCCCCCGTCGCGGCCAATCGTCGAAACCCAAGCTTCGAGCTCGTCCGCCATTAATGGCGTACACACTAAAAAAAATGAATTCTGGGATTTGGAATCCCGTACAGATCGTCGGCCATCAGACCTCTCGCCACTGTCGCGCTCGGCGTGAATCCGAGCTTGGAGCTCGAAGGTCCGCCAT